GGTGGAGGCTATGCATCGACTGAATGAGGCTGACTGTCGGTCGCTTAATTCAGTTAGCGCATCGTCGGAGTGGGGCGTTTTAAATTCGAGCGTGGGAAAAATTGGCGAGTGTCAAAGCTATGTTATTCTGTAAGCTGTGACCATGCAATCAGTGAGATCGAAAACTCTAATGGACTGCCAAGGAGCACTACGGGGCTACTCTGTTCTGGGTGTTAGACTGCAGCAATGTGGTGAGTAATCAAGAAGTACACTCGCCAGAGAAGGGGCCAGGGGAGAGGCCATGGCAGATGACCCACCACTTACGAACCATCCCACAACTGACCCACCACTATAGGAACCATCAAGGTCAAGCAGCTAGAGACTTGGGTCCGCATAGCCAACAATAGAGAGCCAATGGGCCCAACTACAAAGAGAGTAATAGTTGAATAAGCTGAGAATGATTATGATGATTATTATTATTTTTTAATGATTTCAAACAACAACAGTCATCAAAAATAAGTCAAGTTTCCTGTTAAATTTGTTAAATTTAACTTGAAAAGACACAAATAAAATATTTTATTACACAGAAACTCTGCAGTAGAAATAAACCATGTTACTCAACTGAACTTATCGAAGAGGAATAAAGTAAAAGGAATAAAACAAATCAACATTAATTTGATCTATTTAGCTTTAGTATTATTGGCATGTAATGCAAAGCCGTTCAAAGAATCCCCGTTGCAGCATAATAAAAATAAAAATCGTAATTCGCTTCAAATATACCTGAAGCCTTTTTTAATTTAGACCGGTCTATTTAAAATATTTTAACGTTTGGAATTCGCAGTAGCAGGATGTTAATAAATTACTTCTTTGATATAGGGAAGACTTATATTGATGTAAAACTAATGAGTTTTATACGTTCGTACAGTATATTTTATTTAATTTATAATTTATGGTAGTATAAAATTCAGAAATCAGTTTTTTCCGAAGTCCAGAAGTTGTATCCGCTATAGTTGCTTTAATTGAAGTTGATAGAGATCAAAATTATGTCGCTAACAGATTTAGGTGTGCACGAAGTACAATATAGTCGCTTTCTCGAGACAAGTTCATATGCTAGACGTACAGGAACCTTCGCAGGAGAACTTCCAGTCATGGTAGAACACACAAAAGTGTGTACTACCAGCCATGACCTATGCATGCAAAACCTGGACACTTAAAACGGACATCATAAGGAAACTGCAGGTCGCACAACGCTCAATAGAACGAAATATGCTGGAAATAACCAAGAAAGGCCGTAAAAGAATAGAGTGGGTACTACGAAAGACCTAGGTAATATATGTCATCCACACAGTAAAATCCCTCAAATGGCAATGGGCAGGTCACCTGGCAAGAAGAACGGTCAACAAATGGACCACAAAAGTTACAGCATGGTACTCACGAGGTATTAAGAGACCTAGAAGAAGGCCAAACCTGTGATAGGACCATAATATTAGAAAATTAGCAGGGATAACTTGGGCTCGCATAGCCAACAATAGACAACAATGGGCCCAATTACAAAGAGAGTATCTGAATATGTTGGAGAGGCTACACCATAATTGGAAATGATAGATAAAAATTATTATTATCATGTCATTGAATTCAATGACATAGTAATGTCATTAAATAATAAGTAATGTCATAGTAATGTCATGTAAATGACCTTTCACTAGCTTAGAAAATATTTATTGTTCACATCGAAATAAATAACCAAAGCATAAAATACATGATACACACTACAACATTTCCACTGGGCAATTTAATGGCCGAATTGTGTTACCTCAATTTATAATGCATGTTTTATTTATTATTTATTCATTTTGCGCGCTATAAAACTTTTATTTATTAATCTATATTATATTTCTATAAAATATCGGTTATATTTCGATATGCCACGCTAGAAGTGTTAACATAATGGAATTTTGGTCTGTATTTCGCATAGGTGTATTGTTAATTTTAATTCACTTTTGATGTTGGTTGTGTTTTTACTGGCCGTTAAAATTAAATTAATGCAACAGAAGTCAGCCGTAAAATATATTTTTGTTAATATTTTTAACTTATTAACTATTTCAATAGATATAAATTTTAAATTTGCTAAATTTGTTTAAAATAATGATTTTTAAGGTTTTAATTATTTTTTAAATCTATCAATCCCTATTGGCTTGTTATACATAATGTATCAATTCCATCTTTTATTATTTTTCATTAGTTTATTCTACCGCCTTGCCTGATGATTTGATAGCTACAAAAATGACATTAGCGTGAATATTTAAGACGATAATATATGTATATTATATCTGTATAACTACTATCTGTACGATTGATCGCATACATACGCTAAGAGAAATTATCAGCCGAACTAAAGAATACGAACTTCCTCTAGCCATAGTCATTGGCTTTTGACTCGGTATTAAGGCAATAATAGAAGCTCTAGCGAATCAAGATATTGACAGGTCTTACACAGAAAATCTCGCTCATATATATAAAGAAACCAAAGTAAGAATAATGACATATAAAAGAACCACAGAGTTCCCAACTGGCAAACGTAGTGCGAGAGAGAGACGCATTATCCCCAAAGCTGTTTACAGGAACACTTAGAAAAAATCTTCCGTCAAATAGACTGGAACAACAAAGGATTAAAAATTGATGGAGAATATCTTAACCATCTATGATTTGCTGATGACATAGTCCTAATTGCCAATAGCCCTTAAGAACTACAAACACAAATTAACGAACTAAATTCAGTCAGTAATCTCAAAATGAATTTAGCAAAAACTAAAGTAATATACAACGAACTACCAGACAGATAATACATTCTAATAAATAGAACAAAACTGGAAATAATTATAGTAATAATTATAAATATAATAACAGGGTTGGCGACTAGGGAACGTAAAAATTACGCCAAGCGTGCCAAATAAATTATCAGGCCTGAACGATACGGAATCCGGTGATGATAGGCCAGACATCATATATTATATATAAAAAAGACATGTAACGAACTAAAAACGTTACAACACCTTAGTTTATCGTAGCCAATTCTGCAACGTAAGTGACACTAACGGCAGAGCATGTGGACAACATCTTGAGACCCTGATGCACCTAATGTCTGCTTGCCCCGTACACACTGCCACCACCTACATCCAACGGCACAACGCAGTGTGCTATACGTGTGCTATAAGTTACGTGTGCTATATTACCATTTACGGCACCAATACGGTATTGATGAGACAGCGATAGCTTCGGACGGCACTGAGGCGGTCGGTGTTGGAGAATGGCAACTGCCGAATATATTGGAATCACGCATTTCCCACCATAACACGCATTCAGGCTAACAAATCTTCTCAGAGTTAGATGTTAGACAAACAGTGCAATTCCATACACGTTATAGAATTTTTCGCCCCAGCAGAAACTAACATCGAGATCAAAAATACAGAGAAGAAAGCCAAATACCAACAACTACTAGGAGAGTAGTACGCGGACTTTATTCTGAATGTAGCGTGCATCTTGTAGTGTTAATTATCGGCATTTTGGGTGGAACAAAAGACACTTTAATAACGGAACTACACAGAATACCAAACTGTAAAGAGTCATCCGAAAATCTGGCCACCAACATGCAGAAAGCTGATATCCTGGGATCCCTAAGACTTTTGAGACAGATGAGTTTGGCTGACGATCACTGACCGAGCGGACGCAAGGAGTGAAAGTCTACGTTTAACCATCCGCATGACGTCTTGTGGAGTCGAAGCTGCAAAAAAATCGTGTATTAAAGAAACTTTTCAATTTTTTACATAAATAGATCACCGATACTGAAACCCTGAAATATTTTAGAGAATTTAAAAGCACAAAGTTCGTTTGTGATTTTAATCCCCACAGAACGGCATAGTCGCTATTCCAAGCATATCTGCTCCTATTTATTCGCAACTCCAACAAGGATATTGTAAATCCGACTGGCGTAAACGTTTCGAGCGTTTGTTATGACAAGATCTGCATTTAATATCTGGAATGTCGACGACTGAACGAGTAGCGTTACGCGACGCTAGGTAGTAATTGCTTTCCGAGCAAACAGAAAACGTTTATGCTCGCAAGGAGGTTGCCTTCCGAACGTCGCTAAGTCGTTTGTGAATTTTAATCGGTTGCTTATTGTTTCTCAAAATTTCGTGTTTTACTTCATGGATGTGAATAATGAATATAATTATCCTCCTTGATATCAATAATGTCTGTAATAATTAAGTAATTTTTATCAAGTAGTAATTGTTAATTTTAAAGTTTAACCTGATATAATATCATTTCAACAGGATGTCAACGGTTTTTATAGACGTATCTGTTTAAAAAAAAAACTAGTAAAGTGCTCTTGAATAGTTGTATTTAGATATTTTAAATATTTTTTTTATTTATTTGTCCTTTTATTACAGCATTTTTTGTCTCTTAGGCAAATTTGTTTATTAGTAAATCACTGCTGACAATTTGCTCTGTTGAATTAACCAGTGTTTACAAAAAAATAATTATTTTATTTTGTAGATTTTCTTACAGTACAAGTGGCAAAATACCCATTAGACCTTTTTGAAGAGATGGGTCATAGACTAATGTCATGTACTAGAGATAGATGGGACACTATATAAAACAAATAAGTCATTTAGAGCCACCTAGTGTTCCGGAAGGAACTAATGGAGAGTTTTGGCATAACAATTTTAGCGTTCGGTTACTTATTAACTACATCTATCTATCTATCTATTCAGCCTCTTCGGTCTATCGTTGGACATAGGCCTCCCCCAATCTCTTCCATTCTTCCCTCTCTGTCGCCGTGCTCATCCATCTTGTGCCTGCATGTTTCCTCAGATCGTCCGCCCATCTCATCTGGGGTCTTCCTCTACTTCTTCTATTCTCCCAGGGCTATTCTCCCATTTCCATCGATCATCCTTCTGTCTGACATTGTGACCGGCAAACTTCCATTTTAATTTTGCTACTTCACTTCTAACATCCCTTACTTTAGTTTTCCTCTGATCCACTCATTCCTTTTTCTATCTACCAGCCTTATATGTAGCATTTGTCTTTCCATAGATCTTTGAGATTTTGTTACCTTATCCATATTTGATTTTGTCAGTGTCCAGGTCTGGGATCCGTAAGTAAGTACAGGAGTACACATTGATTATATACTTTGGTTTTGAGGTACTGTGAATATCTTTTGTTTTTTTAATATGTAACTTAATTTTCCAAATGCTGCCCAGGCCAGTCTTACTCGTCCTTTATTTCAGCTGTTTGGTTTTCGGTTTTCTTTTTCAGTTTAATCATTTGTCCCAGATATATATACTCTTCAATTTGTTCTATTTTTTCTTGGTTTATTCTGGTTGTTATGTTTTCATCTGTGTTTGTTATGATTTTAGTTTTAGTGTAGTTCATATTTAGGCCTATTCTTCCAGCTGCTGAATCGAGTTCTTCCAGCATTTCTATCAGTTCTTCTTTCTTTTCTGTTATTAAGGCGATATCATCCGCATATCTCAGGTGATTCAAGTATTGTCCACATATTTTGATACCTTTTTCTTCCCAGTCTAAATTTTTGAAAACGTCTTCTAATGCCTGGTTAAAGAGTTTAGGGGATATTGTATCACCCTGTCTGACACCTCCTATGCAAATTGGCTTTGTTCCTTCGTGGATTTTAATTGTTGTTGTTGCTTCGCTATATATGTTGGCTATTAAGTCTGCGTATAGTTAATAAGTGGTCAACTGTACTGTATCCTTTTCTGAAGCCTGCTTGTTCTTTTGCTTGGCATCCGTCAAATTTTGTTGTTAGTCTATTGGTTAATATTTTCGTGAAGAGCTTATAAATTACGTTAAGGAGTGTTATAGGACGATAGTTTTTTAGATCTGCCCTATCACCTTTTTTTATGTAGGATGATGGTTATAGATTCCTTCCAGTCGTTTGGGATTATTTTTTCTATTAGGATTTTATTCAGGACAATATGAAGAGTATTAACTACAGCTTTTCCGCCGTACTTTAGCATTTCTTTTGTTATTCCGTCTTTTTTGAGGTGAATTATTAACTATTAACTACATACTCCTTGTAAATTACAAAATAATTGATATGGACTTTTTTACTACAATTTATGTTTTATTAAATCATTAAAAGTGTACCTCCCTCATAGGTGCCTTCTCTGTTGAGGTTGGCGATTAATATGGCATATGACTCTCTGTCCAGAGCTTGGTGAATAAGGGTGTTTCCGTCGGTGTGGGTCCAATCTCTTATGTTCTGTAGCCATGATTTATTTTTCCTCCCTATGCTACGTTTTCCGTCGATTTTTCCTTCTATTATGAGCTGTATTTTTTTCATTTTCTGAGTGCCGCATTATATGTCCAAGGTAGGAAGTCTTCTTGATTTTAATTGTGCCTGTTAGGTGTGCACGAGTTTTCATTCTGTTTAAAACTTCACAATTTGTTGTTCTGGAGATTCAACTTATCCTCAGCATCCGACAATAAAATCGTCAGCATCCGGCAACATTTCAAACGCATTAAGGCGTTTGATGTTCCTTCTTGTTTTAGCGTCCATGTTTCGCATCCATATTGAAGTAGGGGCCATATATAACATTTTAATATTCTTCGCCTCGTTGATATAGCTATTCTCGGATGGTATAAGAACTTCCGCATGTTGTGGAAACCAGCCCTAGCTATTTCAATCCTTCTTCTGGTTTCCTTAGAGTCTAGCTGCCTGTTTACTTCCCTGCCCAAGTTAATATATCTCTGAGTGGTTTCTAGATGGACGCCGTTTACCATTATGTCGCTGTTTTGATTGTCTTGCGGATGCCTGGTCGAAAATCATAGTTTTTCTCTTGACGGTGTTAATCTCTAGAATCCTAATACTTTCTTCTGTCAGTTTGTCCATTAGGATTTGCAGCTGGTCTTCGGATTCTGCTAATACCACGGTGTCGTCTGCGTATCTTATATTGTTTATAACTTTTCCATTTATTTTAGACCCTTCTAGACAATTTTGAAGAGATATTCGGATTATATATCCGAAACTTTGAGTCTTTTTTCTTCTTTTTTAATTTGCAAATCTGGTTTCTGTGAAGAAAGTGAACGCCTTCTTTAAAAATATACATTTTTTATAATTTTTAATATTATTCCTACTTGATTAAAGAGTTTTGCGTTTATAACACTAAAGACCGTTCATTACCAACGCCTCACATAAACCTAACCTTTCTGGCATCACATTCTCTAATTCCAAAGGTCAAATTTCGTAGATATCCATCTCGAGCTCCGGTATCTAACCTTACCCCAGCCTAAACAATGCAAATTAGTCAGGTTTTAATTAAGTAAACTGGCTTCGTTTGAAATTTTTATCACGTAGCCGGCTCTTAGTTTGGCCGATTCTTCCAAGCTCCGAGCCGTTCAATCTCGCTCATTAATCGCGGAACGGTCCTGATCCGGTCCTGAGATAGCGTTACGTCCGAAACGTGAAATAGACAAAAAACAGAGGGGCAAGATCAGAAAAAGGAGAGAAAAATGTAGTTATTGTTTATTGAAAGATTTTTGATTATTTTAATTTTGTAGTTATTTTATAAATAACTACAAATGATATTGTTAATATCGAACATCATTAAAACGTCGGTTGTAGCTTGCATAGGAGTTTTTGAGTTATAAATCATTATACAATCTCAGGGCACTGATAAATTTTTTTTGTCAATTTTTGACATTATCTGAGACGGTTTTACAGTGGTTAGTTCTCCACCTCCGATACCAGTCGTACTAAACTTTATACCACAAATGGTTGTCGTCTCGGCGCCACTCAGTGATGCGGTGTTCTGGTGTTTCTTCCCCACAAAATCTGCATTCGTCGTTGTTTCTTAGCTTTAATCTACTTGCTTTTATTCTTCTTTCTCTTATTTATTAGTTTTAAACGTCCTTAATAATTCTGACAAGAATACAATCAAACAAATTTGGCGTTTTTTATTTCCTTGACGACCCCGCCATTCCATTCTTTCCCCAGCGCCCGCTTCTCGAACCTTCACCTCTTCTTTCTTCTTTTCTTTTTACTAGGGCGCGTGACACTAACCTGATTAACTAACTATCATGTATATATATATATATATATATATATATATATATATATATATATATATATATATATATATATATATAATAAATAATAAAAGTACATGAACATAATATTATTATATGATGAGGCAGTGTGCCCAGTACATACTGAAGTGTTCATTGAGGAGACAGTGTCCTTACTTTAAATGTGGTAGACAATGATTATCAACCAATAACCGCATTAACGTTTTTGAGATGTACTTGTATCGTCGTATGCTGCATATGTCCTGGATGGATTGAGTGACAAATGAGGAGGTACTCCTCATTTGTCACTCAATCAAATTTGTCACTCACTGAATAGGCGGATGGGCAAAGATAAAAAGCTCCTGTCACCAGTGAAGGAAATGAAGTTACAGTACGCCGTCGGTGATATCATGAGGGGTAATCGATACGAGGTGCTCAGACTGGTCATCGAAAGCAAAATTGGGGGCAGGAGATGAGTGGCAAGAAGGCAAAAGTCCTGGCTTAAGGATTTGCGTCGTTGGTTCGGAAGAGCATCAATTGAAATTTTCAGAGGTGCGGTTTCACGCACCATCATAGTCAGTTGGATCGCCAACCTCCGAAGGGAGACGGCGGCCTAAGGAGAAGAAGAAGACAATGATCCAGTACTGAAACGAAAAGAGTTTTGGACATCCATTTTCTTCGATAGTGTGGTGTGCGTTGTGGGCGTGGGGTGGGTCCGGGTGTGGTGGTGTAGGGATGTGTGGTGTGCGTTGTGGGCGTGGGGTGGGTCCGGGTGTGGTGGTGTAGGGATGCACCACGTAGGGATAGAGTTGTAGTTGTCAACTGACCGTTATCAAGTATGAATTAATCTAAATCCTAAAACTACTGAGCTTATATAGGGTGTTTCAAAAAACATTTGCTACCTCTCGTGGGGAGATTCCTCACGTAAAAATAAGTTTTATTTTTCATCTCAACATAGATTCGATTCTGCTCTATTTCGTAGCTACAATGTGTTAAAGTTTTAATAATCTTTCGATTTATTATAATTTTCTTCCAAGTAATTTTAGTGGTTCGAATGAAATGTTGAGGGTAAAAGTTACTAAAAGTGATACATATTGTAATGCTAAAAAGTGTCGATAAATCACTGGAATATTTTTCAAAAAAAACATGAGCGCAACTGACATTTTTTTTTGATATCAAAATTGTATAGGCCATATAATGCCAATTAAAAGTTATCGGTTGATATTTTGTCGAATTTGGCCTCCTTGATGAGATAAACACAATTTTATTAATCAAAATTAATAATATTAAAATAAAAATAATATTATTATTAAGATTTTAACACCCTGCAGCTACGGAAAAGAGCAGAATCGGACATATGTTGATATGAGAAATAAATCTTATTTTTACGTGAGGAATCTCCCGTTTTTCGAAACACCCTGTATACTAGAAATTTAAAAAGGCGTCCATTATTCTCAAAGTGACCTGGTTTATAAATCCAAAAAAGCAAAGACCGAGACTTTCAGTAATTTTGCTGTTTTTTTTTGTTTGGCCGAGCATTCACCCGTAAATTAGCTGGATGCCGTCAAGCATGAGGTTGTCGACTAAGAATACCTTCATTAAGGCGTTTTATGAGTGGTTGCCATATTGAAATTTTCATACTTGGATTGCTAAAGATTTTATTATTGTTAGATATGAATACGGCCTCTTTCAATTTGCGATTTTTTTTTTCAAGTGGGGCTCTTTGTGGACAACCCGAGGGATCACCCGACCATTTTATATTACAATCCCCGACTTCATTGTTTCACTTCTTTGCGTATGTTTTTTCTGTTCGTCAAAAGGTACATGTAGAGGACGTTTTATCTCTCCAATATACGACTCACCGCACTCGCAATCTTCTTTTTCTTGTTTTGATAATTCCTGTTTTGTTTTTGTTAAGACACTTCTTAGAATAGTCCCAAACTTAAAAACAGTTTTAATTTTATACTGCTTGGCTCGCCTGATCTTCACCGATGTTCCTTTCACATTCGCAGGTTTTTAAATATCTTGAACACGCTG